TTATTTTTTTCTTCACAACGACATACGTATGAGGAAATTATATTGTTAAATTGGTAATAATCAACAATCAAGCGCGTAATGTGTAAATCATTGAGTAAACCTGTACACTGTTAAGTTGGGCGAGAACCATAGTAATGGAGAACATACCGTCCCAAAAGTCCAGGATTTCGCTTATCCTTGTTCAGCGTCACTTCGGCACATCGTGGAGGTGGTGGCGGTCTTGTACCCTTCTAATTTTAATGTTAATTTTAAGAATTTTTAATAAACGACTGCCTACAAATTCTCTGAAGATTAAGCTTCAAACATTAGAAAATATGACCTTAATTGTAATGAAGGCCTCTTTGTTTTTCCGGTCAAATTTTGTGTTACCAGGAGGAGCGATCCCGCCGATTTCATGTAGCTTTTTTAGGGCGCCATACCTAAGAGCGAGATGAGCTGTACATATATAAATATAAGTATAGTATTGTATGTAAAATACAAAAATGTATAATGTAAGGGTTTTTTATTATACCTATTAGAATGTATTGTAAAAAGTTATTTAACCGTCTTTTTGTATATTGCTTAACTACAGCATTGCTAAATTTCATCCTATGACCGCACTAAGCTCTAAACTTACTTCCTCCACGGGTTTGTAGTTCCGCGTTGTGATTGCTTATCAAAGGATGGCACATTGCCCATTGTGTATAACTAAAGAAAAAAGTATATTTTGCAGAAGAACTGTTCGTTACCAACCGGTCCCACTCTTGTGGGCTTCCATTCCACTCTATTACTTATAGATTTTAGATCACATGAAGCGCAATTTCTCATGTGTAGATGATTTTGATGTCTTTGGTTCTCGAAGCTCCGCTCTCCGATTACATCACTGCACTGCTTTGTTGCCTACGATCTACCGTCGTTCAGTGGGGCAGAAGTCCGCAGGAAGCCTATTTGAGGTTAAATATTCTTCAATTATAGCATCTCCCGCATATAGGGGGTTCTTCAGCGAAGTTGCATTTTGTTTCATTGATACAAATTATCGTTTTCATATATTTTCCACATGCTGTTTACTTTCTAGCACCTTAGGTAAATTGTGGATATTGTAAAAGAGGTACTACGGCAGCAACGGTTTTGAAACTTCAAATTTGAGCAATCAATTTTAGAATATCGTTTTGAGCGAAATGAAGCTTTCCGTATCTAGGCGGGAAGCAGGCGTTATGGAGCAAAGGCTCGCCGCAATCCCCTGCGGCATATCCTAAAGACCTTACGCGCTACTTCGCAGTTGATTGCGCAGAGCTGTCATTACTTGCGCTGCGCTGAGCTGTAATCAAATGCGATTTGAGATGTGGAGGAGAGCACACACCATTTCAAACTTGAAGTCTCATTAAATCAAATTTGATAGCTTCAACATGTAGTTCACTCGAAATTTCAACAATAACTCCAATAACAATTGCAATAATAATGCAGTAATTGATATATTAGGAAGAT